GAAACATTTTCGAGATCGTAAACCAAGATACTGCTTCCGACTTCGTTCTCATCTAAAACCAGCTCTCCGAAGTGGATCTCGATCATGGTACGCCTGATACGTGACCAGCATAAAACCAATTACGTATCTGGTATAACGCATCTCTGGCCACAACGGAATCTATACCACGATATTAGAATATTTTTCAAACCGTAGACGATCGATTTATGCGGCGTTTCTTCCACGTGCGGGCTAACGTTGGCCCATTCGCGCTGGATACACGGGGCTTATAGACGCGGTGGCAATTCCAGCTGGCAGTTTAACGATCACGAGCACAGATCCACTTTTTTCCCGCGCTATCCCTGACGAGTCGTAAATCCGACGCGGTGCGGAGAGATAGCGGGGCTACGGCCGCTCGTTCGCCACGGAACACAGGGAGCATAATTCCGCGCGCGTACGACGCGCGTAATTCACCGCGTATCTATACGACGCGGCCGATACGCGGCGCGCACGCGTCTTTATTAGGGCTCTTTGTTCGAATTTTTTACGATTGTCGCTGCCCTCTATCCAGGCGCGTGGCTTTCTAAATGACGCGAACCACCCCCCTCGAGGATTTTTCCAACCGTATGCGACGTGCTGGAATTTCGGTTGTATCGTGCGCTTGGGAATCTCGCGTGTGGAAATGCCGAGTTTTTAGTTTTCTATGGGCGGAGGGGAATTCTGGAATCTTTGAAATTTGAAATCTAGGATTTGAATCCTTGAAATTTGAAATCTAAGAAATCTAGAATTTGAATCCTCGAAATTTGAAGTCTAAGAAATCTAGAATCTGAATTCTAGAAATTTGAAATCTAAGAAATCTAGAATTTGAATCCTTGAAATTTGAAATCTGCAAATTTAAGAAATCTAGAATCTGAATTCTAGAAATCTTGACATCTAAGAAATCTAGAATTTGAATCCTTGAAATTTGAAATCTAGAGTTAAAGGGTTAAGAATTGAGAAGTAGTTTTCAGATCTGAAATTTCGATGTCATTCCTCGATTTCCAAGTGAGACTTCCTTTATATTATACAACGGTTAGCAGGTGGAAGTGAGATTGCAAAACTCTGATAGAATTTTTGGTGGTACGGTTTGGATAAAAGTTTAAGATGTTATTAATACTTAGTAAGCTAGATTTATAAATAAATACTGAATGGATATACCAAAAGTTACTTCTTCCTTATATACGTGCGATAAACTTAAATCGTGAAAAAATCAAATTTTCCAATTCAACCCTTTGCCTCGCAATAACGTGTCACACTTGCGCTGCCATATTATTGTCAAGATATTAAAAATGAAGTATTACATTTGCAATAAACCTGAATTATAACAAAATCAAATTTTCGCATTTATCATGATCAACCCCAAAGCCCTCTCATCTTCCACTCAGCGAACGAAACAAAAAGTCCAAATTAAGAATCAAATCAAATCAGCATTCACCAATCTTCCATTTCAACGCGCCGAGCAAAAACTTCTCATTGGAAGTGTTCTAACTCCAACGCAAATCTCCACTCCGTCCTATACATCCGGCAACAAACACTCGTCAATTATTCGAGTAAATCCTGACGTGGTCTTTCAAAGTCCGACAGAGTGTCCGAAAAGCGGGGCAACGATCGAGTAATTGGACAAAACGGTAACCGAACGACAAACAAAGCCTGCTCTACGCCCGGCGACATCGTCGAGCTTGGTGTACGCGTAATCCCGGGGAACGGGCGACAAGTTCGAATCTCCGTGTCAGAAATTCGCGACAAGCAGAGACGTGGATCCCGGTGGCATTTCGAACGGAAATTCCGTCTGGTTCGTTCGTTCGTTGCCTCACCTCTCTCTCTCTCTCTCTACCGACGAGTCATAACTTCGCGGATGACGTGGAGCGCGATAGAGACACGCTCTTACGCCCTCTCTACACTGAGATACACCAGTGAAACCATAGAGGATAACGGAAGCATAATTCGAGCACAGGTAACGCATAAGTCTGCTAGCGGCCATCTGTCAGATAAAGGCACACCCTGCTACGTCATTCTACGTTGGATAACGAACTCTATCATCGGCTGACCTCGTTACGTGCTCTACGCCCGTGATTTCCTAGCTTTGTTTCCATCCGTATGAGCTTCCTACGATTCTAGCGGTATTCTGAGTTTCGTGGATCACGATATTTCTGGATAGGAATATACAGCGTTCCGGTGATCGACAATGAACGTCGTTTTACGGAGATTTAGTTGGGTTTCTTTTTGAAGAGATTTCTTTGGGTAGCGGTACAGTTGAAGAGTACAGTAGAAGAGATGTATGTTTTGTTACGAATCGCGATATGCTTGTTGCGAAACCGAATCCCTCATTTTGAGTCAGACCATTTAAGGAATCTACTCGGGATAGGGGACTCATGTAGTGCTCGGAAGATAGACTATTAACGCACAACAGTTTGCTGTTAAAACTGTGTATTTGTGAATGAATGTGAACAGAGCGCGAAATGCTTACTGCTGGGAAAATTCTGTGTTGTGTCGTGTGCTGTTCGCTATTTTATAAACTACGTGTGTGTTGTGATTGGTGGTGTGAAAACTGTCGTAGGTGGTGATTCGGGTGTGTCTGGTGGTGGTGTGAAAGTGGGGAATTTGTTCTTACATTTGTTATATTGCTTGTCGAAGGTCTGTTTATGATCTTAGGTCAGGTGTGAGAGGCGTCGAGTTTTTGGGTGTCGTAAAGTATTTTTCGTGCCGGTTAAGACCTCGCTCTTTTTGGGACGTGCTGGTCTATCGGGAATACCGATGTATTGTTCGGCTCGTCGGTATGGCCGAACAACCCAAGCGACGTCTGTTACGCATGTGACAGTTTAAATAATTGAAAATAATTCTATCATACAAAATTGTCGATATTGTAAGGAATTTTCTGTTCCTTTTGAGAGCATTCCGCGGAACATATAGAAACGTATTCACATTTGTAAACATTCTCACTTTTGTTTCGTTTCGAATGACCAAGAACTTTGCCGGAACGTCTGTGTACATGTATAAATAAGAGGCGAGCAACGAAAGCGCCGTCTCTGTAAACGTCTGGTTTTCTCGTTAGTGTAAACAATAAAATACGTCGTAGATTTTCTTTCTAAAAGAAAGTTTTTCGTGGTTCTTACAATACTGCGAATTTAACAAGTGCCTGGAATTGTTGGATTTACGGTTCAACGAGAATCAAGTATAAGAGGTGTACGTTTAAATAATTGAAAATAATTCTATTGTGCAAAATTTTTAATACCGCGAATTTAATAAGAAAAGAAGATTATTATTATTATTATTGCTGATTTCGTTTATTTTCCATCCCTGTCGATACACAATTCTCCAAACAGAGGAACTGGATCATCTGTATTGGTCATTCTACTTTCCTAACTCTTATTTTTACCAAATTTTGTGAACTTATTTAACTCTCTACTGTCGAGACACCGTTTTTGGAACGTAAAGCTACGAAACTCCTCAACTTCCACTTAATTTACACACAAATATAGAACATCTCTCACAACTTTCCTTACCGATTTACCCTTATTACACGTTTTCCTAATGGACATTGAAGAATAGAGTGGTTAATTGTCTTAATTTCATTTTAACATAACGACGTCGAGTTCCTAAGTAGGATGGAAGAAAGCGAAAAAGATAGAATCAGCGTTAATTTTAATTTCCACTATTTTCCACTGAAAACAAAGACGTTCCATTTCGACAAAATACTTTTCACGGAGAATCCTTTGGAATTGAACCGATACACCGACGGAGAGAGAGAGAGAGGTCCTTCGAAATCGGTTTCGTTTAAATCACGCGTTTATGTCGCGAACCGCGACACGGTTAAATCATTTGGTGAGTGAATCGTGACACGGCCGATATATCCGTCTGCACGTCCATATATCTGCGCCCCCTTTCCGCGTTTCGCTCATTTGCTCGGCTCGATATGCGGTTGTTCATGCCGGCGATGTGTCGAACGAACGTTGCAAAATTGTACGGGCGCGGCGTACCCGCGAACGCTGCACGCCGCTGAGTTTGATTAATTCTCGCCCGATGCTATAACCCACCCGATAAGGAATATATATATAGTGGATCACGAAAATCGCTTACGGTATTTCGTAAGAAATATCGTTTGCCCTGATAAATGGCCTTTCACAGTGGAAAGTTGCGGTGCCGGTTATCAAGAATACTCTCCTTGTGGCTCTTAAAAGGAAAATCTCTCGGTGGAAAAATAGCAAGAGTCGTAGTTTTTTCCCTGCAGATCCTTCCGAGGTTCGTGAAAACGACGGAAATACTAGCTCGGATATGAAATCTGGCAGTTTTACGATTGTCGATGGACTTGATCGTTTCTTAAGAATCTCGTATCGTTAATTCTTCTGGAGAAAATAAAGATTTATCGCGGCAGAGTGACTTAAATAGTTACTCTACTCTTGTGTAATTGAATAAGTGACGAAACTGTGTCTCGAAAAATTAAGTATAGGGATGAGAAAAAAATTAGTTTTCTTCTTTATCATTCTTAACAAGAATGCATAATTTTTTGCAGGATATTTGCTTTGTTAAAGTAACTCAAGTAACCACTTTACTTTCGGCTAGGTAAATAAGCGACGAAACTGTACTCCCAAGAATGAAACACAGTAAGGAGAAAGAAATCAATTTTCCTTTTTACAATTTTCAACAAAAATTGAACAATACTTCGTGCCTTTTTACTATACGAAAGCACGTAATTTCTAAAATTCGAAGTTTCCCAAATTCCGTCAAATACAGCAATGAGAGAGAAAAAAAGAATAAATATTCCTCTTTATCACTTTCAACGAAAATTGAACATCAACTCGTAACTTTTTGCCATACGTAAACCTCTAATTTCTAAAATTCAAAGTGTCTCAAATCCCGCCAAATAAAGTAACCAGAAAAGGGAAGAAATGAATTTTTCCTCTTTATCACTTTGAACAAAAATCGAACCTCAATCCCCAACTTTTCGCCACTACGAGAACGCATAATTTCAAAAACACGAGTACCAAAATAACCCTTTTCACGACTACACAAACCCGGGCGATACCTATCGCGGCTACTAGCACCGAGCTAATTCCCATCCCAAAGCAGGCATTCAACGCTATCTCATCTCTATTCGAGCGTGATCGCTACGCGTCCCCATCCAATCATCGAACTCAAGAAAATAGGGTCGATTAGTAGAGCGCAGCAGAGCAAGGCGCGACGGAACATTATTTACCTGCAATGAGAACCGATACAGATAATCCGGAGGATACTGTTGCGGATACTGATGATGTACATGATGCTGATAGGGCTGCTGATTGTAACGTTGCCCTTGCTGCGGCTGAAACTGTTGCTGCTGGTGGTGGTGTTGCTGCTGCTGCTGCTGCGGGTATTGCTGTTCCACATGCATCTGATGCTGATGCTGATACTGATGATGCTGATGATGATGATGATGATGCTGCTGGTGATACCAGGCATGATTGTAACCATCCATATCACAACGAAGTCACGTTCACGGTCCACGGCCTCGGACGTATCCTCAATGCGAGGTGAAAAAGGGAAGCTCGCGCAAATGGCAAACATATCAATCACCTGCCAATAGGGTCCGGACGTTCGATCGTCGTATTCCGAATTCTCTTTCGTGTGGAATCCCCGACATCGCGAGGCGGCCTCCCTCAACCCCTCTCACGCGTCCTATCTGTCTATTGTTTGGAGGTTCCTTTGTCTCGGTTGACGGATGGCTCGGCGAATCGACGAGAAAAATTATTGCGTTCCGCGATAGCGATTGCGAGTTTTCGAAAAAACCAAACGGCTGATTGTTCGTACCCTGTACTTGTTCGAGAGCTCTCTTTCTCTCTTATTCTCTTCCCCGGTCACTGACTATACTCTTGTACGAACCGATTTATCGATTGTTGAAGGTGGAATTATCGTTAGTTAGGTATCAGTGTTGTTTTCACATTTTGAGAATAGCGCGGCTGGGGAAGTTTGACTGTACTCTTGTATGAGCCGATTTGTTTATCGTTAAAGGGATGAACGTCGAAGATGGAATTATCGTTGGTATCAGTGATATCTTCAACACCTGGAGAATAGCACGGCTGGGGGAAACTTGAAAATCGAAACGATCCGCGTTCCCCGGGGTTTTCGACACAATTCACGAAAGGACACGAAACCGCAGGAGACTTCTGGAACTTGGCCGTTTCCGCACTTCCGCCGGAATTCTCGTATTGCACTCTACTAGGTGATGATTGCGGGCCAACTAACTCGCGTTCAAATCGCCGAAATCGCGGCGAGCCGCTGGTGGTCCTTCCCCACTCCTCTCCTTTGACCCCCACGGACTATTATTCTTCGTCCCTCGAACGATTCCTCTCCTCCTTCCGTCTCTTTTCGACGTTCGAAAGAGATCCCGCTAGGACCGGTCAGCCTCCGAGTTCCTGCTGGGGGTCGCCTTTGGGAAAAAGATGGTATGCATCAGGAAGAGAAGGGGTTGATACGCACACACGTCACCCTGGAATTTTTGTTTGAATCGAAAACCTGTAGCAGGAGAGATTCTTCCTGATGGCTGCCACTTCCTTCGTGGCTTCCTCCTTTTGCTCGACCAATCGTCGAGGAAAAATGCGTTTCACTTTTCTTTCGTTGGACATAGACGCTCCTCTCGGTGAGGCTCGCCTTTGACGACGATCATTGGACGAGGGAAGATACGTCCAAGTTTAATCTTTTTTTTTTATTAGGTTTCCTGCGTTACGATATTACGATTGCTTGTGATTTCTGGGAGCGAAAGGGTTCACGCTTTTGATGGAAATTTTGAGGAGCTTTCGGTTTGGTTGTATTAATGAAAAGTGAATTCAATTGTCGTTGAAAGTTTTGAAATTATTTCTAATTTTTATTTCGTTTTTTCTTTCTTTCTAGAATATAGGGAATACCTGTTGGCTATGTCATTGCTTGTGATTTCAACGAACGAAAGGGTTAATGCGTTTAATTGCAATTTTCATGACCTTTTGTTCTGGTTGTATTATTAAGGAGTGAATTCACCATCGGTGATTTAATGTAAAAATGAATGTTTTGAAATGATTTCTAATTTTCATTTCCTATTTCTTCTAGAATATACGAAATAGCTGTTTGACTATATTATTCCTTATGTTTTCAATGAACGAAGGGGTTAATGCGTCTAATGTTACTTTAGATCCTTCCTTCCACTTTTGTCAAGAAAATCGAAGAACACGTAGTATCAACTAATACAAAAGTGAACGTTTTAAAATTATTTCTGTATAGATTTGAATTGTATCGATTCCAACATACACGAAATAACCGTGTCGACTAAATTATCCCCTTGTACCTATCGTATATTTCTCACTGATTCAATATTGCTACAGCTACGCTGGAAAATGATTACACACACGTGTTTCCCCTCGCGTTTGTAATAAAATTCGAAAGGGATAATTCAACCGACGTGTGTAACTTTCGCGAAAATATCATCGTAGACAGACGTTTCGTTAATCACGGTTCAAGATGAAACACGTAACGACAAATCAAATTCATTATTCCCGCCGAGTTTCCACTTACAGCTGATTTAAACTGGCGATTAACACACGCATTACAGTTGCCGCGTTATCAGCTGCACGCGCACAAATCCTTTAACGATTACGCAATTCTAACATTCGCCCGTTTTCGTTTTATCGCGGCCTGATAATCATTAACTCAAATTAATTCTAGTTGCGGCGGTCCATTACAGAACTGTAATTGCAACGGCGCAGTTCCCATTACCGACCATTCAGATGGCATCACGTGCAATTAAAACGAGCCGGATAGAAATATTCTAATTAACATCGGGCTAGGTTGTATCGGTCAGAAATCTCTGTTGAACGTCGAAGAAGGGAACACAGGCATCGGTAACACGATTCAGCGTACGAACTTGCAAAAATTTTCCCGCTCGTCGTTGATTTTCGCGCGATCAGAGAGAGTCGGGAAAATTTGAACTAGAGAAAATTCGAAATTCTCCGAATTTAATACCTAACCGATACTGTAAACATCGACGGTATGTATTTCAATTCTGTTTTGCTTCTATTTTTCTTCTCTTTTCAATTTCATATGCGTATGAAGAGTGTTCGGATTTTTTTGTTTTCTCGGTACCCTATAAAGTTGCTAATAGCAGGTAAAGAATATTGTTTACTCAGCATGTGAAACGGAAGAATCACGAATTACGAGCACGATTTCATTGCAATGTTTCAACTGGTCAAATAGAGGTGGATATTTGGAAACGGTATATATGAAAAATGAAAATTACTGCGTAACTGGGAAAGGTAAATACGGAACGGTGAAACTCATTTTCTACGTTAATTCCAGGCAAGAAAAAAGAAGTATAAATTCAGGATACTTCAAAAAACTTCGACAAAAACAGATGCAGTGTAAAACTTCGCCGATAAATCATGTCGCCTAACGCACAATACATTATCCTCTTCGCGATTTCTTCGTTTATCTCAACATTCGCAGGTAGGAAAAACGCGACAGATTTTCCAAAGAACAAATCTTCAAGTTCCATTCGAACCATACGTCCCATTTAATTTTCAATCCAATCAACCTACACACATACACACATCTGCACCGTTCTTTCCTATCAATACGGAATCCATTATCAATGCTTTTAAATCCTCCCGATTTTCCCTCTGTCCTCGCATCCTTCAGGCCACCGGCAAACAGGTTAGACAGGGTGCGTGGAATCCCTTGGAGGGCGCAGCTAAAAAGGCGATTGTTCGCGCGCGTAGGGAAGGGCGAAGCGGAGGGTTCCTGTTCGTCCAACCCCTTTCACGAGGTTCGAACGGGTAAATCTAATAGTGCATGGCCCACGACACCCTGCGAAACGTCGCTGGCGACAAGTGTCCGATGAGATTTCCATGGGAATACCGGCGGGGGGAGAGAGAGAAAAAAATTCGAAACCAAGGGAACTTTTGGTCAAGCTCGAACGTTCTCTCCCTCTCCCTCTCTATCTCTAGCTTTCCCTCTCAGTATTTCTATCTATTTATCTATCCCCCCCCCTCTCCTTTTTTCTCTATCTCTATCGATCTCTTCCTCTCTCTTTTCCTCTATCTCTAGATCTCTCCCTCTCTTTCTGTCTCCATCTGTCTCTCCATCTCTTTCTATTTCTATCTGTCTCTCTATCTATCTATCTATTAAATATCTCTTCCTCTCACCCTTTCCATCTCCTCTACACCTATCTCTTTTCTTTCACGGAAACAATGGGTAAAACCGTAATAACGAGCTTCCATTTTCGCGAACGTTACACCAGGCAGAAACAAATGGTCGGCAAAACAATGAGACCGAGAGTACGAGCTGGTTGGCAGCCGCGAAATTTTTGGGAAAGCGGGATTATTAAAGGCCATAATCCTCTTTAGTAAGCGCGCCGCGCGGAACATTAAGCGCCGGTTACTCTGCCTGTGCTTGGTAAGTAACTGAAAACCGTCTAACCCCTGACGGAGCAGCTTTCCCTTCCTACTTTTTCCCCCTTTTTTTTTTCACAATTTTGATGAGTTCGATGCTGTTCCGCTGGGTCGGAAATGTCGGGCAGTTAACGTCGGGATTATGGATAGCTGGTGAGATTCGTTATACTGCAACTGGGAGAACGGTTTTGGTTCGAGGTTTATGGTGGAACGTTTTAATTAGGATGGAAGCTTTAGTACAATACTACGAAATAGCTTCCATGTGGTTTTCTTTTATTTCTCTCTCTCTCTACTTTCCTCCATTTTATTTTCATACCGGAAAAAATTATAAAAGTGTTTACCTTTGTACGTACTAAGAGGAGATTTAGCAGTATCGTCGATGAATTATAACTGCCTTCGAACGTCCGGAAAAAATGAAGTTTTGTCGTTCTCTTTCTGTCGTTCTGTTTCTAGAGCCCTACAAAGCACACGGGATAATCTCACTTTGCTTGAAACGCGAAAAAACCCGCGAATGTCCAAATATTTCAAAACACTCCGAAAACTAAAATATATAGTAGTGCTTCCCGCAACCATAAAATTCCAGAGAAAAAATTCTAAAGTAGCAACGTTATGTTACCTAATAGCACCTAAAAATCCGCGCACCCATTCTTCATCACCACGCACATCATCGTTGCATCTAACATAATTAAAGCACGACAGCGATTTACGATTCCCTAATGATCCGCATAATAAAACCAAAGCATAATTATACCCCGTCCACGTGCACCTTCTAGTGTTCCCTTTGTTGTGGAAAGCCGTTCCGTCAGTAGTGATTTAAAAAATGAAAAAACGAGAGGGAAAAGAGGAGAGCAGACGCTCGCGTCTATAACATCATTTGAAAAAATTGACGTCAGTACGCTCGACCCAGTTTTCCCTTCGCTCTACGACCGATTCTTCGGTCATGGTGGCGCTGGCCAGTAAAAGTCCGACCAGGATAACACGATTGTAAGTTATATACACGCGTTGG